TGCGTTCTGTGTGAATGGCTTGGTTTCGGTTTTAACCTAATCAAGATCTTCTCCGCATTGAGCTTCTATATTTCTCTAATATTTTGAATGAATAACGCAGCAGCGGCGCGTTTTGTTAGGCTAACAAAACATTAAACTACAACGTCACTTACATCATCATCGATGACGCAGGTCTAACATTTGATTGTACTATTTTTGCATTCAAATGCATATGTTTATTTTAAATTCGAGTAATATTAATTCTTTACTCACAATCTCCTCGTCACAGGCACAGCACTTGTGTTCGTCTTTGTGTGCGTTGTCTGCATCACTCACAGCACGTGCCTATATCGTGCGCTATTTTTTATATTGTTATCAAAGAAGGTGTACCGTCGATAAATATCGATACCGTATCGCTTTATCACGTACCGATAAATATCGCCCAGGCCTATGAAGACCCCTGCTTTAATAAATAACATTCATACTAGCCTTTAACCTGGAGGTGGATACAAGGAATAAAAAGCATAATGAATACATTTCTCACAATAAATTCATGTACAAAATGTCCATTTTGTTCTGCGGCACAGGGCGCAGTTACAGGAGCGACTGACGGCGTATGTTGAGGACACACTCGATTACATTGAGACCGTGAGGGACTTCTGTGACCAAGAACAAAGATGGACGTCTGAGAGAAAGGCAGAGCTTGAGAAGATGAGAGACATCAGTGAAAATCAGCAGGAGGAGAAGCTGCACGCCGTCCTCGCAGACACATTAGAGGGGCTGGAGAAACTTGAGCCGTTCCTGGATGCAGTGGAGAAGCTAACGGTGACCTCAAGCCATGTCTTCAGCGGACAGATCTTCCTGCTGCGGGGAGAGAGCCCTGAAAGAGTGCAGTCGGTCATCGCAGATGCCAGAATAGATGCTCCTGTCCTCGTCCACTTCAAAAGAAACGCAAAAACCTTCTTCCGTCCTCTACTCCATAATGTGAATGTCTTGGTCTTTCAGCTAGACAGCTATGTACTCAAAACAGAACAACTTTGTATGAGAATAAAACAAAAGTGAGTTCTGAATTTCCTGTTAAATGAATCAAAAGTTACAATTCTGCCATCATTTAATCACCTTCATGCCATTTTAAACTCACATGACTTTCTTTTGTCCTGCTTGCTTTTTTCTTTTTGCAATGAAAAGACTGGGGGGCCCGTATTTTTGAATTCACTATTGAGTTGCGGCAATTTTGCACATGCTATTTTCAGCGCAAGAGCCTGCATCATTTTTACAAACCAGCCGCAATCCGTCTTAAGCAAGTGCGCCAAATGCATTGGAATAGCACTGTGCCATGAGTATTTCATTGACAACATGTGTATTTAAATGGAGTCATTCAGTACAGCAATATGGTGTGTATACCAATATAATGAACACACATTTCATGAGATATTTGTGACCCTGGAGCACAAAAGCAGTGTTAAGTCGCTGGGGGATATTTGTAGCAATAGCCAACAATACATTGTATGGGTCAAAATTATAGATTTCTCTTTTATGCCAAAAATCATTAGGATATTAAGTAAAGATCATGTTCCATGAAGATATTTTGTAAATGTCCTACCGTAAATATATCAAAACTTAATTTTTGATTAGTAATATGCATTGCTAAGAACTTCATTTGAACAACTTTAAAGATGATTTTCTCAATATTTAGATTTTTTTGCACCCTCAGATTCCAGATTTTCAAATAGTTGTATCTCGGCCAAATATTGTCCTATCCTAACAAACCATACATCAATGGAGAGATTATTTATTCAGCTTTCATGAGATGTATAAATCTCAATTTCGAGAAATTGACCCTTATGACTGGTTTTGTGGTCCTGGGTCACATATGATGATGGGTAAGATTTTACAACTTAAATTTTGGTCCGTTTCTTACCTAAAGCAGCATTGTATCACTTCAGATTTGTACTGAATACATGCCATAATTAGATCAACATAAACGTTTTTTATTCATGTTTTCTCCACAGCTCAGTTTTGTGCGCAGACATCTATACGTAAGTATATACATTTCCCAAGAAAGAGCAGGCCAACAGTGAAAGACCTTTAGTGCAGCCTAGTGCAGTTGATGTTACGGACATTTTAGACGGTTGTGGAGATGTGCTTCAAGAGGTTGTGAATGTGGGGGATGGAGTTGCAGATGTTGCAGTGCATAAAAGTGAAAAAGCAGCTAAAGCAGTAACCGAGATCGAACTGACGGACTTCAGTGTGGCCTGTGACGTACCGCAGGTGGCTACAAACCTGTCTAAGACAGGGCAGCTGGCAAAAGCAGAAACATTGATGATCGTAAAGTGTGTACCTAAAGTTGTATCTGGCTTCACAAATTTATTCTTTATTGGCCTGGACATCTTTTTTATCGTCAAAGAAAGTATAAGTCTTGCAAAAGGGAGCGAGAGCGAGTTCTCGAAGCTCGTCCACTCCAGGGCAGCTCTGTGGAAATCTGAGCTGGAGGCCTGGGAGAACATTCACGATTCCTTGTGCATAGGAATAGAGACGATTAGCAAGAGTCAGGATGCTCTGGAGAAGCCATTTCTTCCTTAGATATAGAAATGTGCATGAAAGGACATTTATTAAAATGCTACATATAAAATTTAAAACGTAAGTATATACATTTCCCAACTCATTCAAGGTTGAGATGAAAAAAAAAACGGTGATGGGTATATGTTATTTACACTAAAAATTCTTCACAGGTGTAAAATGGGTCGACCTTTAGTGCAGCTCGTTCCGAACTTAAGCGAGGACACCATGAATCAAATGCTTGATCGTTTGAGCCAGTTGTCCAAAATCAGGTGAGACCTCAAGCTTAGCCACTGGATTGTGAACTACATGATCAACTCTGTCTTCTTTCTCCTCGTCCAGGATGAACCAGCACACCCGGCTGGCCTTCTTCTTTCAGGAAAATGCTCAGAAATTCATTGACGTGTTCAGTGAACGTCGCTCTAGAATGTGGCAGTTCCTGTCAGATCTGGAGGAGACTGCAGTTAAGCTGGACACGATGAAGAAGGACACCAGTATATGCACTGTGGTTGGTAGTTCAGTGGGGATAGTAGGGGGTGCCTCGTCTATTATTGGACTCGCTCTTGCCCCTTTCACTGCAGGAACATCTTTGCTATTTTCTCTGGCAGGGCTCTGTGTGGGGTTCATCAGTACAGGCATTACTGTTGGAGCAGGGACATCTATACGTAAGTATATACATTTCCCATCTCATTCAAGGTTGAGATGAAAAAAATAAACGGTGATGGGTATATGTTATTTACACTAAAAATTCTTCACAGGTTTAAAATGGGTCGACCTTTAGTGCAGCTCGTTCCGAATTTAAGCGAGGACACCATGAATCAAATGCTTGATCGTTTGAGCCAGTTGTCCGAAATCAGGTGAGACCTCAAGCTTAGCCATTGGATTGTGAACTACATGATCAACTCTGTCTTCTTTCTCCTCGTCCAGGATGAACCAGCACACCCGGCTGGCCTTCTTCTTTCAGGAAAATGCTCAGAAATTCATTGACGTGTTCAGTGAACGTCGCTCTAGAATGTGGCAGTTCCTGTCAGATCTGGAGGAGACTGCAGTTAAGCTGGACACGATGAAGAAGGACACCAGTATATGCACTGTGGTTGGTAGTTCAGTGGGGATAGTAGGGGGTGCCTCGTCTATTATTGGACTCGCTCTTGCCCCTTTCACTGCAGGAACATCTTTGCTATTTTCTCTGGCAGGGCTCTGTGTGGGGTTCATCAGTACAGGCATTACTGTTGGAGCAGGGATCGCTGAAATGGTACTCAACAGTCGCCATGAGCACAAAGCACAAAGCTATTTAAAGAGTTACAAGGATGATATGATAAAGATTGAAGACTGTTTGAAAGAGCAAGCCAACAGTGAAAGACCTTTAGTGCAGCCTAGTGCAGTTGATGTTACGGACATTTTAGACGGTTGTGGAGATGTGCTTCAAGAGGTTGTGAATGTGGGGGATGGAGTTGCAGATGTTGCAGTGCATAAAAGTGAAAAAGCAGCTAAAGCAGTAACCGAGATCGAACTGACGGACTTCAGTGTGGCCTGTGACGTACCGCAGGTGGCTACAAACCTGTCTAAGACTGGGGCAAAGCTGGCAAAAGCAGAAGCATTGATGATCGTAAAGTGTGTACCTAAAGTTGTATCTGGCTTCACAAATTTATTCTTTATTGGCCTGGACATCTTTTTTGTCGTCAAAGAAAGTATAAGTCTTGCAAAAGGGAGCGAGAGCGAGTTCTCGAAGCTCGTCCACTCCAGGGCAGCTCTGTGGAAATCTGAGCTGGAGGCCTGGGAGAACATTCACGATTCCTTGTGCATAGGAATAGAGACGATTAGCAAGAGTCAGGATGCTCTGGAGAAGCCATTTCTTCCTTAGATATAGAAATGTGCATGAAAGGACATTTATTAAAATGCTACATATAAAATTTAAATGCGACACTGAAATCCAAAAGTAGTTTCAAGTAGGTCTGGCTCCCAATCTTGAGCTTGGCCCGTGTGGAAGAAATTGTATTAATATGTGTCCCTGCAGCACAAAAGCAGTGTTAAGTCGCTGGGGTATATTTGTAGCAATAGCCAACAATACACTGTATGGGTCAAAATGATCGATTTTTCTTTTATGCCAAAAATCATTAGGATATTAAGGAAAAATTGACCCTTATGACTGGTTTTGTGCTCCAGGGTCACATACCATCAAAGACCAATACAGAGTTGCAAAAATATATAAAGCCCTAAATTTTTCGAATATAAAATATAAAGTGACGTAGAGGGTTTAAAGGGCAAAACTGAAACCGCCAGTGTTACAGAGACTCAATCAGAGTGGACATTTCTAAACGATAAATTCCTTGATGTGTGGGCAAAAGACGAATAATAAAAAAAATATATTAAAATGCATTTGAAAACGCATGTCAAACGTGTTAAGCTGGGCTAGAGTTAAAAGATAGTTTCATTCTACTATGTTAAAAGCCCTGAATGCCTCAGTGCTGTCTCTCTCATTCAGAGTCAGCTGAATGCTGTTATCAGAGCCGCCGTGATAACCAGCTGTTTACAGTAGAGCACAGTGCTTCAGCTGAACATCATACACACAGAGATCTTCAAAGAAACAATCGCCATGAAGAGGACAACTTCTTGTTAAATGTGTCAAAGTGAAACTCAATGACTTTAAATACAGACCTTGAATGATACATGGTTACATTTTAGACTAAATGTATTCTATGACCAGAAGACCGTGATACAGGGCCAAAGGATTATTCTTGAAGGAACTTGAGAATCCTATGCAGACATTAGAACTATAGCTGCTACAATGTGTATATTTATATATAGCTACAACAGTTGTTTGTGAGTAGGAGAGAAATGTGTATTACTGAACCAGGCCAGAATATTAAAGTGCAATAGATTGAAGCTCGCAATATAGGGCCAAAAAGAAAATCTGGCTAATCATGAAAATCTGTGAAGTATGTCAGCCGCATGTGGAATTGGGAAGACATTTTATTAGTATGTTATGGTATGTTTTATTAATATGATATGCTTATTGAACATCGTGTTATGTTTGCATTTTCTGCATTGCTTAGAGTCACATGCTTCTTTGCGGAAATAACAGAATAAAGAATAGCTTATTATTTTGATTTGCCCCAAGTTAAACGTCACATAATTGATCTGCCATTAAATTTCAGTTTCCAAGCGAATCATGCATCCTTCGACCAATCAAAAAAGTTGTATTCTCTTCTTATTCTTCATTAAAACATCGTTCAATCATCAGCCGCATAAAGCCCACACTACACTTCATTACGAATGTTGCTTCTCATGATGTCCCACCTATTTTGCTTTTTTTAAATTCGTTTAATTTATTCTGATGATTTATTGCTTTTGTGTAATCATATTTATGTTCAACTCTCATCACTTGTTTTTTTGCACTTGTTCCCACAGAATTGGTGTCTTAAATGATTGTCCATTATATCAATACAAATAGGCTACTCAATCATTTTTTGACTGTGGAAATAAGAAAAATATCAGGCACATTTCAAATGGAAATGGTAAAATTATATATATATATATAAAAAAAGATTTGTCTAAAAATGTATCTTTTTTGCCTTAATTGGTCTATGTTCTTCATACGAACTGATCACAGAATACATAGAATGTGTAGAATAAATTACTTAAAGAAAAACAACAACAACAAAAAAACAATCACAAAATTTGCACCAAGTTTCAAATGAAGTTGAAAATATCAGGACATCATCAAATTTGCATTGTACAATTAAAATAATGTCCTTGGAGCAAGAACAAGAGCATGACTCAGCAGCGCCCTCTGATGCTTAGGAGAGTAACTGCAGGCTGCCTAATGAAGTGCAGACATAGCAAGCAATTTCAATAAGTCTGTTAATTTATTTATTTTTTCAGCCCATCACGCTGAACATAGGAATGGACAAAAACAATTATACATTTTTACAAATCCAAACACATTTATTCCAGATCTGAAAGTTATATAATAAATAAATGGATAAAACATTACACACTAAAAGAATAAAATAGACTGTGCACTTTATATCTTCAGTGTCATTTTTGCTGATTTTTAAAAATAAACTGTGAAAAAAAAAGATTTATTGCTGCATATTAAATAAGCTAAACACATGATTTCTATTTTTGGTGGAGGTGGCACAGAGGTCTTTAATAATACTTAATGTCCACTACATTACTGCCAAGATTTGTTTCAAATAAACTGTGAAAAAAACATTTATTGCTGCATATTAAATAAGCTAAACACATGATTTCTATTTTTGGTGGAGGTGGCACAGAGGTCTTTAATAATACTTAATGTCCACTACATTACTGCCATAATTCTGATATATTAACATAATTGTTTTCACTTAAATCAAGCGTTTCTGCATGTAAAATTCTGAATTAAAAGGTTTATCAGATAAATAACTTATTTTTGAAAAGTTGCTCATCGTGACTCATTTCACCAGCACAGGTCACATATATTATAATATTAAAATACTATATTATAATACATTATAATAGCAATAAAAAATAAAATCAAATAAAGCAATGGAAAATTATAATTGTTGTTCTATAACACAATAAAACAAGTAGACCACTGTAAATGTGACTAATTATATTTAAATAAATAATGTGTGTGTGTGTGTGCATATATATATACACATTACACACACACATATACATACATATTATATATGATTACATATAATATAAGCGCTGGGCAACGATTAAATGTTTTTAATCGTGATTAATATTTTAATCGCGATTAATCGCGTGGTTTTTCTGCGGTTAACTGAATTATGCGCAAATTTCAATAATGAATTCAAAAGCAGTGTATTGCGCACTTTTATTTTAAAAGTACTGCTGTATGAACAAAAGTGCAGTATTTGTTTTGTAAACACTTTAAACAAATAAGGTGCTTTTTTACAGCAGTATTCCCTTTACATAGTAGCAGTTAAAATATTTCTTGTTAATCTCAATTTAAACATGAATGTAATCAAATTAAAATCTCTTTTTCATCCAGCTCTGTATTCTTCTTGTGATGGTGCGTCTTGAGGGAGGCTCATAATCGTTGCGATCTTAAGAATTTTCGCCTATTTTTTACGGACGCCGCGTCCAAGCCGCACAGTAGATACAAAATAAAAGTCCAAAAAAATCCTGTCAATTTCAAAATAAACACCTTGCGCAGACTCCCGATCGTATTTCACATCACTATATCCTTGCCAGGAGGCCAGAAATGGTGTGTGAAATATAGATTCAAGACAATTTAGGATGTATTTTAGACGACTATACACAGCTACAAATCTTTTATCCTTGTCGTTCATAACTGGACTTTTAAATTGTATTAACTTTGTAGTCAACAGCACAACAAAGTATTGGACATAGCAATACAACTATAAACAGAATTAAACAGGTCAAAATATAAATATTTAGCCAACTTAGAACACAAATAATCAAGACAAACAACGTCGGACAGCAAATCACGTGGTCTCGCGAATCCTGTTGCTTCGCTTCTGAAATGCTCCTGCAATCTACTCTCACTGCATAGTAAACATCACCTGAAACAATATTTTTTTAGGTACTGTATTTAGGCAGGCACTTTTGACTTTAAAACTAAAAACAAAGGCATATTTCCCCCATATTTACATTTATGTATACTAAATTTTGCTAAAAGAAGTAGCAGATTGATTAAATAGTATAAAACAAATGTTGCACAATGCGATTCTGTCGACTTACTGACTAAATCTCTCAGCGTCGAGGCCTGTTTCACGCTGCACTTCAAGACTTCATAAACCTTCAGACAAGGTCTTGACAAACTTTCCTTTTCAAGTTTAAGTTTTAAGCAAAAAATCCCAAACCTGAGGTCAATATTTGATGAAAAGCTTGTGAGTGCATCTTCTGTTTATTATTAGAAACAAACAGCTGTAAAGTAATTATACAATCATGTTTCTACCTCAGGAGGATTTTTCTGGCTGTTTGACGCAGTTTAATATTCATGTTATTCTCCATCCTTCAACAGATTATATTATCAGATGTTTGGACTCTCATTCTGACGGCACCCATTCACTGCAGAGACACTGATGCAGTGCTGCATTTCTCCAAACCTGAAGCACATTTGTGTGTTATGAGTTTATATTGAAAACAAGAACAAACAAGAGAATATTTGTATTGTTGTTGTTTTAATTCACTTCATTTTGTTCCATTTTCAGACTCATTTGCATCTCCAGTAAAAGTATCGATTTAAGAATGTTTAGATATTTTTACTGGAAAACAAGACAAAATGCGACTGAAGAACAGCATTGTCTGCAGTGTGACGTCGTCTTACTGGAAAGACATTAGATGTAAATGACTGGAATGCTTTCTGATCATAAATGATGGCAGTATACTGTATTTGAATGTGACACGGTCAATTACTGTCTCATATTTGCATGTTTGACAAACTGCAACTGAATTTGAATCTAATGTTACCATGATAACACAGCAGATAATGCACATCAGTTCAGCTCAAACTGTGCACCACAAACGTTTCTACAATCTTACGCTTTGGTTGCAGTTTGATTATAGGCCTATATATATATATATATATATAGTACATACATACACACAATCTCTCTCTCTCTCTCATTTTACATTTATTTTATTTTCAGATTATTGCAACTGAAAAAAAAAATGCTTTTTTATGATTTCAAGATTCAGAATCAATCAACAATAATAAAAAAGACAAAACCCTGTGTCAGGACCCCGGGCTTGATCAGCCTGGCTTTGTCTGTCTGTTTGTGTTTATGGTTGTCATGTGCATCTAGCACATGGCTTCTGTTTTGTTTGTTATGTGTTCCTTCATTTGTCATGTCTTGGCCCCGCCCCCTCGTTTCATTTTTTTAGTCAATTTGTCTCAACTGCCACTGCTCCTTATCCTAATTTGTCTCACCTGCCACTGCTCCTTATCCTGCTTATTGATTGCCCTACTTATTCCTGTTGTGTGTGTGTTGTACTTTGCCAGATTGTTGTTTGCTCTTGAGCTCTCAGCAGCTTCATCTGTCTGATATGTGCGCCTGGGATACTGAGGCCTGGTTCTGTTGGCTTTCATATCTGGATCTCCCTCCTACCTGACTCTGGCCTTTCAAGCTTATACACCTGCTTGTTCCTGGAGATTTCATCTGGTTACCTCTGCCTGTCCTTACTGCAGCAGCCTGCACCTATGTGGCTTTGCTTCCTAGACTCTTGCCATTCTGTGACTGTTGCCAGGCAAAGGATTAATTTTTGACCATTTTGAGCTGTTTTTTGCTGCGTTTGCTTGTTTCAAATAAACTCATATTTTTCACCTGCATTTGGGTTCTCTCTCCGTTACTGCCCCTGACACCCTGACATTCTGATGATTTTGCATATTATCTGAAAATCGCTACTGGTTATCTGATTATTCATCCTGAGGGACAATGGGACATTCATGACTATCAGCTGCAAAAAAAATAAGTAACAATATGAAAATTAAACTGGCAAAAATTCAAATGTCACACCGCCACTGGAGACAAACACAGGTAAGGATTACAGGAATATCAGCATAATATCAAATGGAGGTTTTGTCAGGTTTAACTCACTATAAAACTGTCCCCAAAATATGGTTAAGACAAGACTGTACTAGTCAATAAGGTAAAAATATTAACTAACAGACATAACCATATCCCTCCAGTTGATTAAACACAGTACATTAAGACGACTGTTTTCCATTAATGTTATGTTTAAATGTGAAAAGAAGGCCTTTTCTAATTAAACATGCAACTAATCTAACATTTCCAGAAAATAGATCTGAACATTCAAAATTCTTGTTTGATTTTGTTGTCATATTATAATATTAACTCTATAGAGTTCAAGGTTTTGGTGTGTGTAAGAGCTGCTGAACTGGAGGAGAAAACTTTGCTACATGAGACTATGGGAAATATAATTCACTGTAACTAAAGTGGATGCAACGTGTCCATTGTGTTATAAATCATCATACTCTGAAAAGCTATAGCCACAAATGAGTTGGTATTATAATACATTAAAACTGTTCTTATGATTATTTATGAGATGATACAACATATAAGGCTTTTTATTATGCATTCATTATAATGCCTCAAGAATATCCCTATAAATACGGGCTTCATAGAAAGTGTTACCAAAACTTTTAAAGATATGCACTGGAATTGAAATACAGATGCAAATACATAAAGTGTAATAGAATAAACAGAGTGTATTTTGGATTTTCCATGAGTATAAACACACACACACACACACACACTCTCTCACACACACACACACTCTCTCACACACACACACACA